GCAGACCGTTGAGTCCATCGAGGGCTCTTTGAACCATAAAAAAGAGAAAAGATAAGAAACAAGGCATAAAAGAGGCTCGAGAGTGTATTCTGATTTGCTCTGGCCATATTTCTTCTTCTCCAAACCGAGATGAGAACCCTTCTCTTCTTAGCGGCCGTTTGCGCCGTCGCGCTCTCAATGATGAGGTAAATGATTGAAAAGTTGGAATTAAGAACTTGATTGTAATGTATGAACTACAAATGAAACATGTAAACAAGTGACTTTATGTTAAACTGTTTAAATTTAAACAATTCTTGTAGTTTATTTACCAAATCATAGAATGATTAGTAGTTTGTATGAGATTCTAGTGGCTCCAAGAGTCTGACCCTTGAATCTTGAATCGTCATAACGTCGCCACACAGTTTAAACCTCTAAAACCCTTTTCTTTCCATAGTTTGAAACTCAACAATTCTAGAGTCCCATTTTGGACAAATAGCGTTTCATGTTATATGCTGTAGATAACAATTTTACATAAATTCCTGAACTTAAAACAGTTCACAACACTTTAAGAGTGCTAAATCTATCGGTATTTGCTAAACTTTTTAATCTTAAGGATAATTTTTGAAACAGAACATAAAAATTTCCTTTAAACAGGGTAAATTTGTCACCAAGTACAGTACCGGTCCAAATTAAATCACCTCCAAAAAAGCGTCCCTTCTTCGGAGGCTTGTAACGTTTTGTCTAGTCATTGTAAAAGCATATGCCATAAAGATTCTGAAAGCTCTTTTTTAGCTCTACAAGATTCACTTTAAGACTTTTAAGGAGACAAAAATTCAGACGATTTTTAATGGCTTGAATCAGAGGAAAGGACACTCTTTTGAAGGTGATATAATTTTGAGCGGTACGTCTGTCAATTCTGTCACGTGTCTGTCACGAGGGGGAACCGAAATCTTGTGACAAAATAAAACTTTCAGAACTTCATTGCAAAGTGTAGGAGTTTGTATGAGATTCTAGTCGCTCCAAGAATCTGACCCTTGAATCTTAAAGCGTAATAACGTCGTCACACAGTTTAAACCTCTAAAACTCTTTCCTTTCCTTCCCTTTCCTTTCCATAGTTTGAAACTCAACAATTCCAGAGTCCCAATGACAAAAGTCGTTCACGAGCGTGAGCAATACAACACAAAGCTGATCGGTGAGTACTTGAAGCAAAAGTACATCAAGAACTACAAATTCAACAACGACGCCTACAATGAGGGTCTTTCCGATTACCAAAATGTGAGTTGGAGTTTAAAAACAGAGACAAAAACAATCACAATTTTGTTCTTGTTCGGTTTTCTGAAATATTTTCCTTTCCTAAATTCTTTTCCCGGGAAAATTCGGTTCCTCTTATTTTATGGCCAGCTCCCGGATCTTTCTGATTCCTTATCTCGAAAAATTTTTAATGTCTACAAATTAATCGCTTTCTAGGACGAAAATCAAATGAATGAAAAGGGGTAAACAATGGAAAAAAAACTAATAGAAGAAATTTTAGGCTCAATACTACGGAACACTCAGCATCGGAACCCCACCACAGAACTTCAAGGTGAGTTTTGGCAAAGAAGAGTGTCAATGGTGCAGTTGTCAACCAGATATTTAAGTAAATAGCAATATTTTTAACTTTATTTAGAGCTATATAGCTTTACTTTAAAGAAGACATTATAAAGATTCTTTAGAAGTTTTGGGATTGGCTAGGTCCAACACTAAGCAAATTTTCAAGTTCAACTACAACAATAAAGACTTTTTATCAATCTTTAGAACTCTAAACTAAAAAAAATCTATAAAATGAATCTAGTCCAACCCTTTTATTGATCAATATTACACAGTTTTTACATTTTTCTAGCTTAAAATCTTTAGATCCTCTTCGACACCGGATCCTCGAACTTGTGGGTGCCATGCAGTGATTGCCCATCAAATAACTTGGCTTGCCAATTCCATGCCAAGGTTTGTCACGCCTCAAAATGAATGTACAGTTTTCATTTTCAGTTCAACTGCAAGAAATCGACCACTTGCACAGCTACCGGAGCTCAATTTGCCATCCAATATGGATCTGGATCAATGACTGGAGTTGTTGACAACGACATTGTTTGCGTGAGTTTTAAAATGATTTTGAAAGACTTGCTTGACATTTACAATTACAATAGATTTACAATACAATAGACATATCTTTTACTTTAGTTCGGAGACTCAAAGAGCGGCTTCTGTACCGACAAGACTCAAGGATTCGCCTGCGCCGAGCAAGAGCCCGGAGTCTCATTTGTGGTTGGTAAATAGCTAAAATTCTAAAGATTATAGATTTTAATTTTAAATCGAATACAAGTTTACATTTTAATTTTACCTATTCACCATTTTAAGGCCGCCAAGTTCGACGGAATTCTCGGAATGGGCTTCGACTCGATCTCCGTTAACAAGATTCCTCAACCAATGGACCAGATCTTTGCCAACACTGTTAGTTACTTGAAAAATATGTTTATGAATAGAAATATGAATATAATAACGTTGAAATGAGCTTAAATCTGGGCCAAGATTGATACAAATGAAATTCAAAAAGGGTACAGTAATCCATAAATCGAAAAATCCATAAATCCATAACCGGTAGGCAAAAAGAATTCGGAAAATGGGTTTCTAAATCTATTGCCTGTGTCTTTTAGATATAATATTTTAAAAAACGTGCATTAATATTAACTTCTAGGCTATCTGCGATCAGCAATTGTTCGCTTTCTGGTTGAGCCGTGATGCTAATGATGTTGCTAATGGAGGAGAGATGACTCTTTGCGGAATGGACTCAAACCATTACACTGTAAGTTAAAAAGATGAGCATTTATCGTTAGAGACAGGTTAAACTCGAAAAAACAGTTAAAACTTACAATTATGAACGAAAAGACTCAAAAAAGACTTTTTGGACAGCCTAGTTGACCGGAAAGTCTTGTCCGCTTTTTTTAAACGTTACTTTTTAAGATCAATAATGTACCAATCGATCTCTGGTTTGTTTTATCAGAAAGTCCTATTATTTATTTACAAATTGCCCTTTAAGAAATTCATAATCAAGACCATTTGACCAAATTTAGGGCCAAATTGCTTGGGCTCCATTGATCGCCGACGACTATTGGCGCATCAAGCTGGACAAGCTCACCATCAAGGGAGCCTCGGTAAGTTATTTTCTCATAGCTTATCTAATATCTAATATCTTTTAGTTAGCTTATAGATAGGTTTTCTTCTCAAGTTATCTACTTTTTTCAGTACGGAGCCGGAGTTGCCGCTATTGTTGACACCGGAACCTCGCTTCTCACTGGACCCACAGATGATATCACTAAGGTAAGCAATTAAAATGAAATAGAACTTTAGAAAACGAATTATAGGACAATTATAACCTTGTTTTCCACTCAATTACCTTAATATTATTAAATTTTAGATTCAAAAAGCTATTGGAGCGATCCCACTCGGAAATGGAGAGTACACCGTTCCCTGCAAGTTGGTCCCCGCTCTTCCCGAAATCACCTTCACTATCGCTGGAAAGGACTTCAAATTGGCTGGAAAGGATTACATTCTTCAAGTCACCAGCCAGGTAGAGATTGGATTTGAAAAAGATGCTAATAGCTGACTTCAACGTCTGAGTTGATCCTCATGAAGCATAAGTCTTCTCAAAAGAACGAATTAGTTTCATAATTGACCGTAACCTCTGATAGATCTGGATAAAAATGAATAATGAATCGTTAACTATTCAGGGAACGACAATCTGCCTCTCCGGCTTTATGGGGCTCGATATCCCAGCTCCAAACGGACCTCTTTGGATTCTCGGTGATGTCTTCATCGGTCGCTTCTACTCGGTCTTCGACCGTGGAAATGATCGTGTCGGATTCGCCATGTCCAAATAACTTTCTTAACATTTATTTTCATTTTACTTACAATAAACTTATAATATCAACTTATTTCAATCATATTACAATGGATTAATTCTGAAATTTTGAGAACAATTGGGAACAATAAACAATTGAACAATAGACATTAGAAAATTCGACCTTCGTTTTCTCGAATTTCCAAACCCAATAATTCCACCTTCGTTTTCTCGAGAGTTTCTTGTTTGATTGCTCTGAAATTTTGCCTACAAGCTGAAAATGTCGATTTCTATCTGTAAACAAAATTTCAGAGTAATCGGCCAAGAATCGGTGAAGAAAACGAAAAAAGGAAAGCTTATTTTTGCAAGAATTCACAGATTTAAAACATTTTTACTTTAAAGCAAAGATATGATACATTTTTACTTCAAAACAAACGGCCGGTAAGTAGGTTCAGCTAATCAAAAGTTGTGTGTTTCTATTCTTCTGCACAAAGAATGCTTAAAATTGACTCTACTTGACTGCAAGTACTTTGTGCTTAAAAATGGAAACATTTCCTTTCTAGCATCTTTTGCTTCTTAATTCTTCTTCATTTGCTTCTCAATTCCTACTTTTCTCGCAGCAATGAATGATCGCAGCAATGAATGATCGCAGCAATGAATGATCGCAGCAATGAATGATCGCAGCAATGATCTACGCCAAAAATAAGCGCCAGAAGCTATAGGTTTCTATTCTTGAACTCAAAGAATAAACAAAACATCTGAAATTTTGCCTACAAGCTGAAAATGTCGATTTCTATCTTTAGAAAAAATTTCAAAGCAATCGGCCAAGAATTGGCCAAGAAAACGAAGGTGGAATTAGGTTCAGGCTGGAATTTCCCGATTTTGAATTTAGAGGGATCTGTTTAACTAAATGATTATGAAAATTGTGGTGCAAAACTAAATTTTCCGGAGTTTCTTAAAAAATTAGCATAATTCGAGGCTCTGAGACAATTTGCATATAATTTTGATGACGTTTTATATCCAAACTGTGCCCTGTAGCTTTATTTTGATGATCTATCCGTTTTATTTCATAATTAATCTGCAACTAATCTACAAACTTTTATTAAAACAATAATTCATACATATTATGTACAATGAGTCAAGGAATTCAATCAGTTGGATATGCGGTGGAGATACATGTGCCCGCGTCACAAGCTTCCGTGTACGAGGTAACGCCGAGATGGAATCCTGAAAGTAATTGGATTTTAAAGCTAGTGTTTTATCAAGTAAAAATATCGATTTAAAAGCTATTAGCAAGATCCAACCATCCAAAGTGAACTTGCAATTGGCCGAGTTGGGATGGGTGAGGACACAGATGCTGAGAAGGGAGAAGTCGAAAGCTGAATTCGATTCAAATAACCAACGATTGATTCTACTTACAAGGGAAAGGAAAGCCTCATTGCAATTGTTTATTCATCGTTTATTCATTGCAAATACGTGAGAAATAGTTTTTTTTTAAAAAAGTGAGAGTGGGACTCGAACTTGGAGTAAAAGGTTGATAGATTCGGTAGTCTAGAAGACTATCCACTAGACCACCAAAATAGTTGTCGAATGCCTTATAAGAAGCTCGAAATCCTTTCCCTTGTCAGAGCTCAGAAATCTTTTGAGAAAAGACTTTGATAATAGTTTGAGTTTGAATTCCTCACCTGGACTAGTTCCAATCAAAAATCCACCAGTTTTCTTGAATGCTTTGCTCCATTGATATTGGAAAGTTCCAGTCAATTGCTGAAGTCTCAATTGTTTAGCTTCAAAACCATTACTCACCTTTTCATAGCTGTAATATCCATAATAATTAATTTGTCCGGCTTTCTCTTGACGATAGTAGTTGACCCAACTGAAATATTTGATAATTAGCAGAGAATTTTGGGGTACCTGTGATGTCCATCAACTGTGTTCTCTTTCCATTCACCGCAGAACACATGTTCCCAACCTGGAAATTGTTGTTGAAGACTTTATCCACTTTAAAAGCTTGATAAAGTCTAGATAGAAATCCAGGATGCACGATACAAGTTTTAAACTAAATTTCCAAGATATTTTAATCATTAAACCATTTTTCCAGCTAGGAGTTGTGGTTTTGAGGGCATTGACCTGTAATTATAGTTTGTCTAAACCTCTAGGACAGGCTAATCCTGAATAAGAGAGGAATGGTTAGAGATTCTCAAAGGAGTATATCTATTCTCAGCTTCTTTATTAGTAAATCTTGTAACAGGAGCTGATATACTAATGCTAATTTGAAGAAATAACTTGGTCTTGGTCAGGTTTAGACAATTTGTTTTCGGAAACATCGGAATTCTTGTTTTCTGTTTATCTGAAATACCTTGATTCATCGATTCTCAAATAAAATGTTGAATCTAGTGATTTAATGATAGAATATGAATCAATTCAACTAATCTGTTCAAAAACAATTCCTTATATTGTTCTGTTGTAACGGAAGAGATCTTTCTTCAATCAAGTTTTGAATTGTGATCGGTACTTTTCCGTTATTTCTTCAAATTAGCATTAGTATATTAGCTCCTGTTGCAAGATTTACTAATAAAGAAGTTGAGAATAGATATATTCATTTGAGAATCACTAACCATTCCTCTCTTGATCAAGATTAGCCTGTCCTAGAGGTTTAGACAAACTATAATTACAAAAGGATTGAAGAATGTTTGCTTTAAACTCACATTCAGCTGATTATCAGTATAGCAAAATAAACTGTTCCTACCTGAAGACCCTAGAATCGACTTATTCGATGTGCATCGATTATATGTGCCGAACCAGAGCATGAAGAGCTTCGTTTGCAAATCATTTTGATCAGTACATTTTCCTAAAACCATTATCATCTTTCGATTATCATTTTTCAAGTCCAAATACCTTTCTTCAACAAATATCGATAAGCTTGTTGAAAGATCGTTGTATTGTAAACGGTGTTCAACCAATCCATTACGGCAGCTTTGCGGAAACCAGACATACCAGGTTCTTGGATGCAGGTCTAAATCTTGTTGTAACTCGAATATTTGGCTGTTTAAACTTGAAAACTTTATTCTTAAAGCTTTGAACAGTTATTAGTCTGAACTTATTAGTAATTGCTAAAGATATTAGGCTTAGGCGAAAGTCTTTTCCTTCCTTTTTGTACTTCCTTTTGAAAAATAACAATTTCATCAATTAACTTATGATTTGCTTAATAAATAAAAAGTGTTTATTATTTAATTTCCCATCTTTTTAAGTCAATTTTTGTTCACTTTCAACCAAAATTCGAGAGTGAAAACGTGTTTTTTCGTAAAAATCTATGAAAACCTCTACGAAGAAATTGGCTGAATCAATTTCTCTGAAAATTTGACGGTATACTAAACTTTTTATGCTTTATCTTTTATCTAGTGACATCAAGATAGGTTTTTTAGCTAAATCTTCTAAACTGCATTATCGAGCCGCATTTTTAACTACCCGACTTCACACTCCCAAAAAAATCCAGACATAAGATATTTTAAACCCGTTTTAATGTTATTTTGCAGAAAAATAATTGGCCTTTCTAATGAAAGAAACCGTAGTTCAATTGGTGCATTTCTTGGTTTTAAACGAAAGTATAAAAAGGAACGAAAAGACTTTTTGGACAGCCAAATATCAGGTTAGCCGGAAAGTCTTGTCCGCTTTTTTTAAACGTTACTTTTTAAGATCAATAATGTACCAATCGATCTCTGGTTTGTTTTATCAGAAAGTCCTATTATTTATTTACAAATTGCCCTTTAAGAAATTCATAATCAAGACCATTTGACCAAATTTAGGGCCAAATTGCTTGGGCTCCATTGATCGCTGACGACTATTGGCGCATCAAGCTGGACAAGCTCACCATCAAGGGAGCCTCGGTAAGTTATTTTCTCATAGCTTATCTAATATTAATTATTACTATAATATCTTTTAGTTAGCTAGATAGGTTTTAGATAGGTTTTCTTCTCAAGTTATCTACTTTTTTTCAGTACGGAGCCGGAGTTGCCGCTATTGTTGACACCGGAACCATTTATCGTTAGAGACAGGTTAAACTAGAAAAAAACAGTTAAAACTTACAATTATGAACGAAAAGACTCAAAAAAAGACTTTTTGGACAGCCTAGTTGACCGGAAAGTCTTGTCCGCTTTTTTAAACGTTACTTTTTAAAATGAATAATGTACCAATCGATCTCTGGTTTGTTTTCTCAGAAAGTCCTATTATTTATTTACAAATTGCCCTTTAAGAAATTCTCAAAAGCTTGCGTCAGTTATTTTTTTTAAAGGTGCGAAGTCGAGCAGTCAAGAACGATGAAAAACGAACTCAAAGTTTCAGTTTGAGCACCTTTTGTCACAGAAACCCATTTCGGTGTCAAAAGACAAGAGATAAAGAATAAAAAGTTAGATAAATAGACAAATTTTCATAACATTTCACCAAGCCGTTTTCATTCTATGTCAATTCTTGTGTCCTTGTAATGAAAAACAAGAATTTTCTCGGATTTGCCTACAAATGAGCTAAATGAAATAGTTAATCTTTTTTATTTAAAGCAATCTTGATCAGCTAATGTTTTATTTATCGGACAAGACTTTCAATAGCAAATAATTGTGGCCAACTTACATCCGCATGGAAATATTGTTGATCGTAGATGTAGATCTGCTTCTGGTAGATTGGTCTGTTGAAAACATCTTCATTAAGTTGTTTGAAGAGCCTGAAATTTTGAGATAGAAATTCATTCAAGTCTTGAGGTTTTAATAAAAGATTTATTACTTCCTAAGATCTTTCTAAGATCTTTCTAAGCTCTTTCTAAGCTCTTTCTAAGATCATTTGATAAGATCATTTCAGATTTTCATTGAGTCAGTTCAGATGAATCTGATTTGGCTTTACAGCTAGGAATTTGGGGCAGTCAGAGGCATAGATCTGATTTGGCCTATTCTGGCTTACAGACTCAAGGACTCAGTTGAAAAATTCTTACTTAAAACCACTAAATAGATGTCTAATATTTAAATACTAACGGATTCGGGCTCACATCCTTCGTTCCGCTAACTTTATTTCCCCAATCCAATGTGTAATCGGAGTCGAGTGCTCGATCTGTGTCAGCAGCTCTCATTGAATCTACCTGAAAATATCTTGCTTGAAAAAACAAAACAGGAAAGCATTAGGAAAGCACATTTGAACACCATACCACAGCTTGTAAGTCCGCGTCATCAGCTGGTTGAGTGTTCGGAACTTTTGTTGTCGTTGTTGTTGTTGAAGTTGCATTGACTGTTGGATAGGCTTCATCGATCTGGGAAATGATTTGTTTTTATCAAATCTATTAGTCATCTATGCTTTGCCTTTAAAAAATGCTGATTTTTAACTCACCAATCCATCAGCTCCATTTCTTGTGGTCACATTGAGGTACACGGTGGTTCCTTGGATAGTGGCTGGACACTAAATCAATGAAATTATAGAATATATTTATTTTAGATTGTTTATTACTGGTTCTACGAACCTTTTTGGTTCTTTATTACTGGTTTTATTACAAAAATTTGTATACAAAAAGTCTCGATGCCTTTTTTGTTCTTTTTCTTGTTTCTTGAGAAAGAAAGATTCACTGACACAAGAATTTGGTTTTTTTAAGATTGAATTTTCGATTTGCCTGTGTGTTTGAGCTTTTTTGTTCACAAAGTACACTTAGAAGATTCAAATTTCGTTCATACAAGATCAAAAACTGTTCCGATTGATTCATTTCCACAGTGAATCTGTTTCCCATAGAAAAGTGACAACATTAAACGATCTTTTTCATTCATAAAAAAGATGAATCGTTAGATCACGAGTGAAAATTGTCTTTTATTTAAGGAAAGAGCGCTGGGCCTTCAATAGACTGAAAGAAAAAGGGGAAAACGGGGAAAACGGGGGAAAAATGTGTGAATAAAGTGAATGAATGCAAATCGATGTTTGCCCATTTCGACCTTTTCACACAAGATCTTCCCCAAACAAAAAACACAATCTTTACCACAACAACATCGGAATTCTTGTTTTCTGCTTGTCTGAGATACCTTGATTCATCGATTTCAAATAAACTGTTGAATCTAGTGATCTAGTGATAGAATATGAATCAATTCAACTAATCTGTTCAAAAAAATTCCGTATATTGTTCTGTTGTAACGGAAGAGATCTTTCTTTAATCAATTTTTTAATTGTGATCGGTACTTTTCCGTTATTCCTTCAAATTAACATTAGTATATTAGCTCCTGTTACAAGATTTACTAATAAAGAAGTTGAGCATAGATCTATTCATTTTAGAATCTACCCTTTTACCCAAAAAACTCACCGGTTTCCCTGCGCCAGCCAGCGCACAAACGGTGTAGGCCAAGAACTCAGCTTCTGGTGAAGTCATCAAGAGAAATGTTTTGTCCAGAGCTTCGGCTTTTCCCCACATCCATTGCAATTCCAAGTTAACATCCTGGAAAAATTGAGTTGATTATTAAATACTTGATTCTATTCATCTTGAACTTACAAGTTACCGTAAATACTCTAATAGAACGCCACCCGCTCGTACAGTCGCGTAGTGTAACTTCTATTTAGAAAACTATTTTTTTCTCAGTCCTTAGATTTCTTCCAATTACACTTTTGGTACCAAAAAATGCTAGATTTCAAGGGCTATCATTTGAGACCAAATAGCACACTGTAGCATAAAGCAGCGCAGAGAACGAGACGTTCAAAGTTAGACTACGTGATTGTACGCCCATTATGGGGAGTGGTGTTCTATTTATTTACGGTGGTTTGCTTTTTGCTAAAGTAAACAAAAAGACTAAAAGTGGAGCCATGATTTGAATATTAATTCTTTTAATTATTTCAATTCAATTCAAGTATCAAGTTAGCATTTTTTGAACTTCTAGACCTTATGATCTCATTTAGGCACAGATTGGGAGGACTTTTTGACCAGTTTTCTTGGTTTCCAGACTGGGAGGACCATTAAAATTCTCCATTTTAACATCTAAAGATCTAGCTGATCAATAGATTGAACAAATTTTGATTTTGCGTAAGAATGTAAAGCAAAAACTTTCGTACTCAGTTTTTTAGATTTCTGTTTTTAAGGCTCGTCACTTTTTTCTAAATAAGATTACCCAATCCCAATCCCATCACTTTCTTCTAAACATTTATTTGTGACACTCTTGCATTTGTCTTTTTTGGGAGTGTCTGAAAACAATTTGAGTATCAGATTTTCCCCATTTTCTCACAAAATATTTGAAAACTCCACTGAAAGCGCTATCATTTGATTTGATTTTTTGGCAAAACAATCGCCAAACTTTTTTTTTCTGCAAACGCCAATAAACAAATCTGATTTCTGGATCATTCATAAAAGTTTCACTTCCTTCTTTTGTTTCCTATGTCTTTACATAAAAATGGGTTCTTTGTGCGTTCTTTGTGAGTTCTTTGTGTGTTCAAAATGGAAACATTAACTGTCTGGCCTCAATTCCTTGTAATTCTCATAGCAATCAACTGTTCTACCAAGAAATCTATAAAATTCAGTTTATCAAAAGTTATGTGTTTCTATTTTTCTGCACAAAGAATGCATAAAATTGACTCTACTTGACTGCAAGTACTTTGTACTTAAAAATGGAAACATTTCCTTTCTAGCATCTTTTGCTTCTTAATTCTTCTTCATTTGCTTCTCAATTCGGACTTTTCTCGCAGCAATGATCTATGCTAAAAATAAGCGCCAGAAGCTATATGTTTCTATTCTTGAACTCAAAGAACAAACAAAACATTAATACAGTCGAACTTCGATATAACGAATCGCTCGGGACTGAAAACTTTGATATAGCGAATGTAAAACGTGCGCCAAATTTTCTGTGTAGCTGCCCTGGACGGCCACTGATTGCATTTGGCTGGTGCAGCTACGCAGAAATTTTGGGCACATTTTAGAAGTTCAAATTCATTGTATCGAAGTTCGACTGTATTCGGGGTAGGCTAATTTCCACAATTTGTTTTTTGCACAACAGGGTCATTTGCGCAACTGGGTCGTTTTCACAACTCGCCATAACTTTCTTCTAAGTCGGCTAATCTTTATGATTTTGGTTTCATTTTGTTGCACTCATTGAGATCTACAAAATGAAACCAAAATCCTAAAGATTGACCGACTTAGAAGAAAGTTATAGCAAGTTGCACAAACGGGCCAGTTACACAAATGACCCTGTTGCGCAAAAATTGCGGAAATTAGCCTACTGTATTCATTTTCAGATCAGAAAATTTCTATTGTGAAACGCTCGTCTTTTTTACATCAAAATTCTTTAAAGTAAATTGTTGGAATGATCGAAAATCGCGAATTCCCACACGGTTTGTCGTTTATGTTTATTTTTTATCGTTTTTATCTCGGCTTTCGAAATTTTTCACATCACAATTTCCTCGTTTAGATCAAAATGATTGCTGCTGACAAAAATGTGCATCGAATTATCGATCCGCCGGGCATTTGGGACAGTTTGAGAGTGCTTTTTGGGCAACAAAAGGATATATGTTGTGGGTTTTCTTCTTTGGAAAAGCTTTATACTAGTTTTTAATGGAGTTTATCTTGATTTTTTTTATCTGAAATCGTCAAATGAACTAGCTGAATGGTTTCAGAATCGAAGTTTACTCTAGATTAATAGTCAGTAAATGCACTTTGAGCTGTAAACACATCGTTTCTGGCACACTAAATCTAAATAATTATGGTAGTCCCGAAAAGATGCGTTTCCACTTTTGAGCACAAAGTACAGTACTGGACAATGAAATATCATATTTGAAAAACGATCGTCACGTTCGCACGTCTGTAACTTCCTTGTTTTTGAGTTTAAACTATTAGTGTTTTACATTTTCTGAAAGCTCTTTTCAAGGGCTACACAATGGTAATATTAATATTTAGAAATACCGTATTTTTGACGCATTTCAGCGCGCACAAAAGTGACGATCGTTTTTCAAATATGATATTTCATTGTCCAGTACTGTACATGGTAATCAAGTGACAAATCGATTAGACTTGTTTTTATGTATTTTTTTGCTGGAAACGGATCCAATCTAGTGCACGGAATTCTTATAGAAGATGATAAATTGGAGTTTTTTTTATGAAAATTGAAGCTCTAAGTGGGCCAGAAAGTTGCGTTTACATTTGAAGTACCTCAAAGATCAAGAGTTGCATTGTGTTGAATAAAATAGAGATAACTATAAGAAGTAAACTGTAAGTATAACTATAAGAGATAAACTTATGATTTATCTAACTCACCAGCGGAAAACGCTCTTTCTTTCAATTTCAAATCACTAAAACTACCGTAACCCATGTTAAGCTCCGCCTCTTTCTAAAAATGGACCTAAAAGTCAGATTCCCCATAGCCGAAAACCTCCAGGAGAAAAATATAAAAAAATAACGCTAAATACTTTGCCTTTAACCGATAGAGCAAACGTGATTACGGAGTGTCGCGTTTGCACACAGACGGACGGACAGACAGGCAGACAGGCAGACAGGCAGACAGACAGACGGGCAGACGTCTCTTCTACTTTATATATAGTAGATTAGATTAGATTAGATTAGATTATTATATTATTATTATATTATGTTTTATATATCATATATTATTATATTGCCAGTAAAAAGCGCTCACTAACGTTCGTGTTTTCCACGCAACCTAAGTTCCGCTCCTTTTTGCGGACGGACAGACGGACAGACAGACGTCTCTTCTGCTTTATATAGAGTAGATTATATTATATTATATTATATTATGTTTTATATATCATATATTATTATATTGCCAGTAAAAAGCGCTCACTAACGTTCGTGTTTTCCACGCAATCTAAGTCCCGCCCCTTTTTGCGGACGGACAGACAGACAGACAGACAGACGTCTATTCTGCTTTATATAGAGTAGATAAGAGTTGAACAATGATTTTTGGTGCATTTAATTCTTCGAAAACTTTACAACTACCCGACTGACCTCAAATCAGTTTCTTCTGATCGATTCCCGTTTTCCCTTTCACTTATCAATCCCAACCATTTCTAATTTCATTTTATTACTTTGTGATTGCCTAAAAAAGACTTGGGAATGTTTGTGTTTCCTTTGGCGTGAATTTAACGACTTTTTAAACAAAACGAGATTTGGGGAAAATTTTGGGGGAAATTTGGGACGCCCACGTCTAGAATTCATTCCACCCATGATCGAAATTGATTCGAATTTCTGACGAATTCGTGTTCTTTTTCTAAATTTTAGCACTTCTTTTCTGAGATTTTGTTTATTGTGCTGAAATGTTGCGAAAGTTGATTGAAGATGATGAGGATAAGGAATCAATCGAGGGACAAGCACTACAAAAATGTCAACTAATTATTTCGTTATTGTTTTATCATTTAAAAACCTTCACCCACTATCATATGCCATGGTTTTTATTATATTTATATAGAGTTTAAGAAAAATTAGCTTTTCTTTAGGACTTTGTCTCAAAAAGAAGACCAAAAGTCACCCCATTAAGGCGTATTCCCAGCTCTGACCTCAAAGATGAGTTCAATGCACTCAAAAACTATTGAGAGCCAATAAATTTTCTAGATAATGTTTTCTAGATAATGTTTGAAGGAATAGGATTTGGGTACATTGTACTTAAAATTCAAGATATGAAGACTTTCAATGGGAAATTTTAGTGCATATTATGAACAGTGGTTCTCCGTCGTTCGATCTCGAGGCAAATGACAATCCGGTGGCGAGAAGGGACACTATTCGACTCACTGGTTGGTCTTTTTTGATTAAAATCTTAAAAAGCTCTAAATGATTATTGTATTTGGTCAGAGAAAGTCCAAATTTTCATTATATTGAAGTTTTTGATCTAAAAGTTTTACTTAGGGCTTTGCTAAACTACTTAATTCCTTACAAAAGCTAGCTTTAATCAAAACAGTAGAAAATAGTCTCAAAATAAAACAGAATCAATAGAAGTAACGCTTAAGGATCATTTTCAGAGTCGATTTTTAGACATTTGATCTTTAAGCGTTACTCCCATTGATTCTGTTTTGTTTTGAGACTATTTTCTACTGTTTTGATTAAAGCTAGCTTTTGTAAGGAGTTAAGTTGTTTAGCCAAACCCTAAGTGAGACTTTTAGATCTAAAACTTCAATATAAATGTGCAAATTTACATATTAAACTCTAGATTACGAGCGTGAGTATAAACGACGCCGCTTTGCCGTTTACAATTTCCTCGACCATCCCCGATCGGCTTCAAATTTCCCATATCATTTCAGTAAGTTGACAAGAATCTAATAAATTCTTTAAAAATAGTACATATAAATCTATAAAATCTAACAAATTCTTTAAAAAACTACATAATTCCATAAAATTTTCAAGAATTAAACCAAAAACAGCTATTTTTAGGTATTTTCGTGTTTGTTTTGATCTCTGTTATTGTTGGTGCTTTAGCTGATGCAAGTCCG